GCAGGGGCAGCTCCCCGCAGCCCCTTGGGAGGCAGATTGGTCATGCACAGGTTATGAGAGGAGGCACCGAGCCGAACACCTCCCCGCCTCCCTCCATCCCTCCCCTGCCTGATATGGCTGATGACAATAAACCCGGAGGGAAAGGCGTGAGGAGGAGAAGGGATGAGCCCTGGGTTTTGTATAGGGGGGGAGGCGAGTGGCTGCAGCCACGGGGAGGCAGCAGGGGAGAAATCGGGGGGCTTGGGAGCAAGGCTCCCCTTCCCACCGGTGCTCCAGAGAGGGTGGGGGGAGGCAGCGCATCTGACATTGAGACTTAAGCGAGAGGTGCCCACAGCGGGCTGGCCGCATCCTGCCCGGCCACAGTGGGCATCCCCACCAGCGGAGCACACGGGCTGCTGTAACGCTTCCCTGCTTGGATGCAGCACGACAGTGTCTGCTTCCTTGGGGGTTTGGGGAAATCTTAATGGTGCTGGCAGGAGGTAGTTGGGACAAGGGGAATGGGTGACAGAGAGGAGCGTTTGCACCCACAGTTGGCTCCCGTGGGTTTGGTGTGCGGTGGGGCAAGTGTGCTCAGCCGTGTGTCCAACATGAGTGTCAGGTGCTGTTACGTCCATGCCATGGCAAAGGCATCCCCTGCCCTCCGCGACACAGCCTGCTGGTACAGGAGTGCGGTAAGCACCCGAATCCAGCCCACTGCCTCCGTCAGGCTTCCTCCTGTGCTCTCTTGTGGGCTCCTGCAGCCTGCCCTCCCCAAATCAGACCCCTTGCTTACCTTCCTCCAGCTTGCTGAGGACCTCAGTAGCCACGTCTGCAAGAATTATGCTGATCCACTTGAACTGCCTCTTCTGTCAGGTCCAGTACAGGCTGCCCTTGGTTTGGGCTTTTTGTTCTTTTTAAGTTGCCTAGAAGTTATTTTTTAAGTAAAATTTTTAGTGGACTTGAAGTAAAATTTTGAGTGGGGCAGCTCCACTGCTGGCTCAAGAGGGAAAATGGGAATATTTCAGAAACAGGGAATGAGGAATGCAAATGGACAGTATGGGCAGGGCTGCCCTGCTGCCCTAGTACGTTCTCCTATTTGAGTTACAGTTTTTTATTTACCCATTGAACCAGCGGCCATGAAAACAGGTTTTGAATTGTCAAGGTACATCTTGATAAGCAGGATGCAATCTGGCGACTCTTTGTTACGCCTTTTTGTCATGCGGCAGGCCCAAGAATTAAGTCTTGGGGAAAGCTCGTTACGAGAACAGCATATGGATAAACAAGGAGACAAGCCAGGGAAGGCAGACAGACAGAGAGACAAGCAGAGAGACAAGACCCTGGAGAAAGGCAGCTGCAGCCATGCAGCAGGCACTGCTTGGGTTTGCAAGCAGGCAGGCAGGGTGCCTGCTGGTGGGGAACTCCCCACCACTTCCAAAATTTTGCCTCTCAAACCCAACACAGTTGTGCACAGGTCTGGGTAGCTCGTCAACATGGGGAAGCAACATCTAACTATGCAAGGAGTGCGGCGCTGCTTGTCCTTATCTTTTATTTCATTGCTGGGATAAAGGTTGCCTGCACATTAGTAGAAATAAAACTATTAATTAGCCATGGTCTCTCTGAGGACTCTGGGGTTGTTGCTGTGCTGCACACCAGGGCCACTCATCATGTCATGGACCTCGGCTCCTCCCGCTCCTGCAGCATACCCTTTGCCACCAGAGCAAAAAGACTGATTAACAATCAGTTATACTTTTTAACAAGCAGAGGGGGGGTTATTCCGGTTTTCTCCCTCTCACCTGAGCTGTAGCATCATCCTTACCTCGGATTGAATCGCTGCTTTCCTCCTTTCTGCCCGTCCTTACCAACCGCCTAAAGGCACCCGGGCGACTATTTGTTACCAGCACTGGGAGTGTGTTTGTAGCCTGTTTCTCCTCAGCTCCCCGTCTTCCTCAGGTCACCTGAACACGTGGAAATTTCTCACAGTTCTTGCCGGGAGCTGCCGATCCACCCCAGCTGACAAGGAGTGGTGCCACCAGGCAGGGGCACGGAGCAGTCCCTCTGGTACAGTTCCCTGTGGTGGGTACCATCCAGATGGACAAACCTGGCTGCAAGGCCAGGCGGAATAGCCCCCAGCTTTGCTTTCAGTGACCTTCTCAGGCTGTGCCATGACGTGAGGAGGAGAGTGGTGCTCACCGCAGCTCCGTGGGGAATAGCTAGAAATGCGTGCTGGACTGCTGGGAAGGGAGGGAAGGGATGGTGCAGAGAAGATGAGTAAGCGCAAGCCCTATGGAGAGGCTAGGGCTGCAAAGATTGCATCCAGAGCACAAGGCTTGCTGACAGATGGCACAGGCAGCTTAGACGTGGCTGGGAGTGATGTGGAAAGAGGAAGGAGAGAGCTGGGAGACTCTGCGTTCTGTCCCTGCCACCGGTCACCAGTGCAAGCCCCCGGGTACTCTCCTTCCTCACGTTGCAGGCAACTCTGTTCAAGTTCAGTACACACTACTCATGCCTCCTGGGCGGAGGCAAGGATTCACTACCAGGGACTGGGCTCCCTTCGAAGAACAATTTGTGGATAATTGTTCCCACTGGCAAAAACATGAACCACTCAGTAAGTCTCCGCATTGCAAGGTTACTTATGTAGGTATCAGCTCCTCTTCAAGTGTCATAAAAACTATATGTCCTGGGTAATGCTCAGTCCCATTGATGTGATCTGCTGTGATAAGGGGAATAACCCTTTCTTGAGATGGTTAACGATGAATTTATTTAAAGCTACGTACCAAATCGGACGCGTGGGCCTCATCAGACTCAGCAGCTACAGCACCGTTTGCCTTCTGTCATGGACTGACGATTTGTCAGCAGGGGCACCAAGCCAAACCGTGCCTGCCATAGACTCACTGAAGCTGATGAATCTTTCACCTGGGCTGGACCCAGTGCTGTCCTTCCTCCTTTGTTTGCATTCTTTGCCTTATCTGTGAGGCTTAGAGCAAGGCAGCTCTACAAAATCATTCCTTTCCCCCAGGTACAGGCAGTCAGAGTCCATCTACAGCAGGGAGAGCTGGATAAGAAATGTGCCTGTGAATAGGATTTCGTAAGATGTACCAGCAGTGGGAATGTGACAAGAAGGACACTGGTATAAAAGGTAGAGCTGATGCGAGGTGCCAGGGTCCCTGTATGTGCTGCAAGAAAATATACCATTGCATACTCCGGTTTTAATTCATATCCATCTGAATTAGAGCATCAGATCATACTGTTAACGTAAAAGCACCCACACGGCGTGATTCAGATTTAAAGGATCTGTCCCCCTCTTTGAAGCCGCTGCTAATTCAGAGGAAATCTGTAGAAACAGCAACACTTCATCCGCCCGATATTGGTGGTTGTGAAAAAAGGCTCACACTCTCCCTCTCTTCTTGTTCTCTTTTTCTCCCTCACTTGCACTTTATATTCTATTTCAAGGTCCTGCTTGAGGCTGTAATTCCTGCAGAGCTCTTGGATTCAACTAGTTGACATACAGCCCCCTTGTTCCCCGTCACCGTGCCAGGCTGCGCACGATGGCGCTGGTTATTACGTGTGCTTGTAGGCAACTACCTGGGGACAGCCAGGTTATTCTGTTGGGGAGACCCTGCACCATTTCTTCTTCTGTGGAGCTATGCCTTACTTCAGGAACATGATGCTGGGAATAGAAGAGAAATTAAGCCAGGAAATTAGGACGCACTTCATTAAGAAACACGCACACTTTTGCTTAGCAGAGCGTGCACGAGGCTGGGACTGGGTATTGAAGCACTACTTCTAATCAACACTTCTCCATCAAGTGGCATTCATATTTTTGTGCTTTTGTAGCGGTCTAGGAGCAATGGGTTTTCAAACGAATCCCTTCCTCACACTGGCCTACTTTATTTCTGATTGATGCTGTGTGGTGCAGGAGGTGAGGCTGGGGTGATCAGAAACATTCACTCTGGGCGGGCAAAGCTGCAAAAGACAAAGATGAAAGTTCACGTGCTCGCTCTCCTGGGTTTTTTTGGTGGGAGGTTTTTTTTGTTGTTGTTAATTTGTTTGTCGCTCCGTAGTGTTTAGTGGGAGGGAGGTGTCAGTAGCTCAGTACAGTCAGTGTCCCTTTTTCCTCTACCTTGTTAAACCTCTGACTCTCACTTGGCAGTCTGACTCAGTGCTGATCCCCCGATTCTTAACATTCACACTTGGAAGCAGGTTGCAATTGTGATTTCCATCCCATCACTTCAGGGAAATATTTACCCCTCCTTTCCTAACTTGTGTTTGTCTTTCTCTCTCTTGCACGCTCCTCTCCTCATCCTTCCCCCTTTTTGTTTACCATAGCGGTGGGTGTGCAAATTAAGCTGGAGTTGCTCCAACGCAAGTTTTGGATGGCCATGCAACAGGTAGGAGCATCAGCATTCGTGCAGAGAGACAATTTCGTGCTCTTCGTCAGCTAGGTCGATGCTTTGTTACATCACCTATGATGACATTTTGATGAGAGCTTTTGTGAAAGTCATATTAAAAGATTTATGAAGTAGATTAGTTTGAAGTCACACATTTCTGTAATCCTTGACAGCGCTAATGCCATGTGAGCCATGAGTCTGTTCCGCAGCTGACAGTGGCAGCATCCTGGCCTGGCATTAGCTCTGCTGCATATGACACATTTAATTGTGGAAATATGTTTGTGCTCATT